TGGTTCAATCCCAGCCTGCAGGCAAGGGTCCCACATGGCACAGCAGACCTCTCCTGTTGCACCCGCTGCTCCCCTCAGCAGTGTACTTCGGTCCTTCTGCCTGTTCTGCTCCCTGCTCTGGCTCTGGTGAATTCTCTCACCCTCCCGTGCTTCTGACTGTACCCAGTGCTTGTATAAATAAATAAATGAATGAATGAATGAATAAATCTTTACCAAAAAAAATTTTAAAAAAAGTAGCTGAAAAGGAGGCATAGGAGAGGTCCTGTAATTCCCAATTAGAAGTAAATGGCATGGGGCCTCCCCGGTGGCGCAGCGGTTGAGCGCTGGGTTGCGAAGCTGCCCGCGGCCTCTGCGGCACCGGTTCGATCCCCAGCTGCTCCCCGGCCACCAGAGGAGGGTCCCACATGGCGCGCAGACCTCTCCTGCCGCCCGCTGCTCCCCTCAGCAGTGTACTTCGGTCCTTCTGCCTGCTCTGCTCCCCGCTCTGGCTCTGGTGAATTCTCTCACCCTCCCGCGCTTCTGACTGTACCCAGTGCATGTATAAACAAAAAAACAAACAAACAAACCAGCAAACAAATAAATAAAGCATGCCTCTATAAAAAAAAAAATAATAAAAAAAATAAAAAAAAAAAAAAAGAAGTAAATGGCATGATTCCAATATGAGTCTTACATTGTAATTCACAGGGACACTCACAAAATTACTAGCATTGATTTGTGATCAAACTGCTGCTCACATGAGCACCTCTATGAAGTATATTTCTAGGCTGAAAAACATCAAGAATATATTCATTTTATGATGGGAAATTATTTTCCTCAGGAATGACTGGAGAGGTCAGCTAATAAAACATAAATTCATATAGCTGATAAAGAGTTAAGGGACTTTAATTATGCTGTTTGATAAAGAGTTATTTCTAAGGGCTTAGCCATCTACAAATATGATACTGTGCTGTTGGGTTACTTTTTAATACCGTACAGTTACTGTCCTTTAAAAAAATCACTTTTAAAGGAGATATTTTAAAATATCTAGTAGAGGGATCTTCTCATAACCATAATCACTTGCTTAGATAATCCCGTAGTTTCAGTAACTCTTCAGTTTATATTGAGCAAGTTTTCCTGTGTATGTGTTTGTGCGTGTGTGTGTGTCTGTGTCTGTGTTCCTATAAAGATACTTTATCTTTGCCATAAAAGAAGGCAGAAGTGATCCTTCTTTGTGATATAATGCTATATATTTTCCCTCTGTTGAGTTATTTTACAAGTAAACATCTTACTTATTTTACAAATAAACCAAGGATAACCTTAACCAAGAAAATAGACAGGGAAAGTTACTGCTAATGCCCCAAGAAAGAAAATTATATATTCTGACAACATCACATGAATTGTTCAATTTTTTAAAATAATTTTTCACTTTGACATAACTATATTGCTATTTTCTCCCTTGCAATGGTCAAAGCAACCCACCAGTAGTAGAAACTATGGAGACAGTAAACATCTTAAAAGCATTTTCAAAAGGTGTGGACTTTCTTAGCTTGCTACAACTCAAAGGCAGAAGGAGTGGAAACCTTCTCAGCAGATGGGATGGTGGAATGTGGCTGGGGCTGGGGATTTGCATGAATATGAATTACAAATAGTACAGATAACATGGTGTTCAAAAGCTGTTAGGAATCTTGAATGTCAAAGTCATTTAGCTGACATTTGGAAGGACATAATTACCTTAAGAACATGGGAATGGGTTGGTCTAAATTGCACTGGCAAAAATCACAGGACACACAAAGGCCCTGCTTTGGCAATAATTTGACAACTGGGCATGGCCACCGAAGCCAAGAATGGTACACATTAATGCAGTGACATTTTTTCAATGCAAGCCGCCCTTTCAGAAATATGCATATGAGCCCTAAATAACCTCCGACCCATTATAGAATAACAACACAAAAAAATCTACCACAAGTCCTATCACTGGCAGTGCAAAGAGTTCATTCACATTTCATACATAGTTTTACATATTTAGAACATTTGAAATGCATTTCACATCACTAGACTTCAATGTGTCATCATTTGGAGTAGGTTTACTTGCAAGTCACTAGTGGTTCCTAGAGTATTTGCATTTAAACAACTGACAGTTCCTGATTTTGGAATACGATATTATTAACTAAAATCATTTCTATATTATCATAAATTATCAATCAATATTTAAATATGCAGTTCAGGAAATTTTATGTTTCTCATTTATTCTGTTGTATTTTTTTTAAAAACAGTGTTTGAAATGTGAGTCTATGAGAGCCAGGGGGTGTACCAGACATCGTATTCACAAGACTAGGTCAGTTCATGGTTCCCTATGGAGGAAATTTGCCAAATATGGTAGGGACCTACAAGACAACACATTTTGGGCCTCCCCTGGTGGCGCAGTAGTTGAGCGCTGGGCTGCGAAGCTGCCCGCAGCCTCTGCAGCACTGGTTCAATCCCCAGGCACAGCAAGGGTCCCACATGGCGCGCAAACCTCTCCTGCTGTGCCCGCTGCTCCCCTCAGCAGTGTATTTCATCAGTCTGCCTGTTCTGTTCCCTGCTCTGGCTCTGGTGAATCCTCTCACCCTTCTGCACTTCTGACTGTACCCAGTGCTTGTATAAATAAAATAAATAATTTTTTTAAAAAAAGACAGCACATTTTACTCCCTAATTTTTGTCATTGGTGCAAAACCTACAGAATCAATTATACTAAAGGACATGGCAAAAAAAGTAATACTTCATTAACATTTCATTAGATAAATCACCTATCACTTTGGAAATATTGATTAAAATTCAACACAAGTGATACAATGCACACTTTAATGTCTACCCACTAAAAGGAAATCTGTGAACTCTAATAAATATTTCATTTTCAAAAGTGAATGAGATACTTAATTTTTTAAACAGATCAATAACCTAGACTGGAATAGTATTTGGAGTCCCAGCAAATACACTTCAATTTATTCTTGTATGACCTCCATTCTGAATGTAGCCATGATGAATCCTGGGCCTCATTAATCGCCATTTCTCCTCCTTCAGAAGCACTTGTGGTCTATTTCACACCATCGAACACTATTCATTCTTGTTTGCTAATATGTCAGTATAGACTTCTTAGTGGAATTATATAAATTATTTATGGAATGACTGATTATATTAAGGATGCAATCATTACCAATAAAATTTGTTGATTAGATAAGCTTGTGACGTGATGATGAAAACAAACTTTGTCTACTGTATGCTAAAATCTGTGCAAAAATATAGAAAAATGAAAACATGTAGTCTCTTCTACTGTTAAGACCACACACTATTGAAAAGCCAGAAAGTAGACTTACAGATGCATAGCTAGAAGTCAGAGTGACTAAGAGGCAGATATGATGATAAATACTACCAGATAAAAATATTGTTATGGCAAATAAAATGGAAGACCCAGGGAGTTTCTGCAGTGAAAGGAAAAAAAAAAAAACATTCATTGTACAGAAGGATATTTGTTAACTGCAAAATAATTCAATATCAAATTTTAAGAATTCAAGATCACACAAAATTAAAATGACATGCCATTTTGAATGAATGATAGATAAAATTAGTATTACATTACCAAATTTAAGTTGAATAAAATACTGAAGTCATAAAAAGGTACTGGTAAGATATTCTGCCCTAAGTAAGTTGATTCTGAAATCAAAACTTTCTTTCAAAAATATCAAAATCAACAAACAACTATGAACCAGAGACACTCTATGGGGGGTGGGGGTGGGGAAAGGAGGGATTGGGGTTTAAATAAGGGGGTTGTAATTGTATGGGGAATATAAAAATAAAATGTAAATAAAATAAATAAGAAAAAAAAAACTTTCATTTCATGAATGAATACAGAGCCCATACTAAAACAGATAACTTGCTTAAGTAAGGTGTTGAAAGAGAAAAGTGATTAAGACAGATACTGCCACATCTCCAGAGCACTTAAAATATTTCCATTTGAACAGAACCTTGTTTATTTGGTTCAGTGTAAACCTAAATTTTTAAATAATTATAATCACATTTTCCATATGGATTCATATATTTGGAAAATTAAAGAAAAGTACAAAAAACTGTAAAATTATCACTTTAATGCTTACTAATTGTACTATTCCTGGTTAGCTATTTATTTATTTTTACGATTTATTTATTTATGCATACAAGAGCTGCGATATAGACCAGAGGCATGGAGGGTGAGAGGATTCACCAGAGACAGAGTGGGGAACAGAACAGGTAGACTGACTGAAATACACTGCTGAGGGGAGCAGTGGGCAAGACAGGAGAGGTCTGCACAATGTGGACTGCTCCCTGGCTGGATGGGAATCGAAATTGTGCTACAGCAGCTGTGGACAGCCTTATAGCTTGTTACTTAACCCCTTGCACCACCAGGAAGGCCCCAGCTCATTATTTATTTATTTATATTTCCTAAAGATTTATTTATTTATTTATACAAGCACTGGGTACAGTCAGAAGCGCAGGAAGGCGAGAGAATTCACCAGAGCCAGAGCGGGGAACAGAACAGGCAGACTGACGAAATATACTGCTGAGGGGAGCAGTGGGCAAGACAGGAGAGGTCTGATGAACCATGTGGGACCCTCTCAGGCAGGCCAGAATCAAACCCACACTGCAGGGGCTGCAGACAGCTTCACAGCGTGGTGTTCAACTGCCTGCGCAACCAGGTGAGGTCCTAAAAAAAAAAGAATTAAATAAAAGTTCACTTGCCTGCCTGCTGTGACCAAACACGGATAGCATTGCACACTCAAAGTTGTAAAAAAGTTTTTGAAAGTCGTTATCAATAGTCAAACAGCAACATTTGAAATTGCCTTTATTGGTTAAGAGATTGCATAAATTTTCTTAAATTCATTGAGAATCTGGATTTCTACTATTTAAACTGCCTGAGAAAAACATTTGCCTGTTAGTCAATTGACAGTATTTTTAATTGCTTTAGAAGAGTAATTTGTGCATGTGGTTTAACCTTTTTTTTCTCCCCCCAGGGGAAAGCATGAACATAATCCTTTAATACCACAAATTTTGCAGTTGAGTTTCCCACCTGGGGAAATTGCAGGTGTCAGCACATCTTGAGTACAATGTGTAAGCCTCATGCTGAGGAAACCAACTTCCTAATCACAGTATCGACCCAGCCAGGAAAGTATTAGCCTATAATTTTTATAAGTATTTTCCATTTAATAAAATGACTTTCTGCCACAACAGTGCTTTATTATTTAGGTCAATTATTTACCTCTTTTTGTTGAAATTTTTATTTTACACTGAATACTTTCATCTATTTATATTTTTTGTTGATATACTAGATAAGGTAATTAACTTGAATTTCTACTCTATTATCAGCATCAGCATACAACAGTATCATGAACTTATCTCTTCATTTCCTGTAGGCATATATATTTTTTTCTATTTCATGGCTTATTGCATTAGGTGTAACTTTTAAAGCAATATTCATTAATAAGGGGAATTGCAACCACGCTGCCCTCATCTTAATTATAAAAATTACTAAAGTGGGGCCTCCCTGGTGGCACAAGGTGTTAAGGACGCAACCTATGAAGCTATCCACAGCCTCTGCAGCACGAGTTCGATCCCCCGCCAGCCGGCCAGGGAGCTACCCACATGGTGCAGTAGACTGTCCTGACTCGCCCACTTCTCCCCTTAGCAGTGTATTTCAGTCAGTCTGCCTGTTCTGTTCCCCACTCAGTCTCTGGTGAATCCTCTCACCCCCACCCTACCCATGCCTCTGGCCTGTACCCCAGCTCTTGTATGCATAAATAAATAAATCTTTAAAAAAAATTACTGAAGTGTTTCCCTTTAACTTCAGTGTTAGCTTTTGATTTATATATGCATTTTTAATGAACTTAATATTCTTCTGTTATTAAGTCAAGATTTTATTTTTACCTAAAACAGGTATTACACATTTTTTTAAAGATTTATTTATGAATAGAAGAATTGGGGTGTAGGTGACAAGTGTGGGTGTGTGTGAGAGGATTCACCAGAGACAGAGTGGGGAGCAGAACAGGCAGATCTACTGAAATACACTGCTGAGGGGAGCAGTGGGAGAGACAGGAGAGGCCTGCTGTGCCGTATGGGTTGCTCCCTGGCCCGGGATAGAATTCATGCTGCATTGGCTGGCAATAGCTTGATAGTGCTGAGACTCACCCCCTTGTGCCACTTGTGTCTTCGGAGCATTTACTCAGAACTCCATGTCTCTTATAGTTTTATTTATTAATAGAATATATTTTCATTTTTTCATGAAACTCAGTAGCCATTTGTATATCCAAAATTCTTTTCTTTTAAAGTTGAAGTAATATGGTTTACAACGATGTATATGATTTAGAGGTTTAGTCTCACACCTCTTCAGATGTATGTTAGCACCCTGCAGCTACCAACAAGCATCAACAACAACAATGGGGACACCCCCCTACTTTGAGCCCCTCCCTTCCCCCTCTCTTCCTGGTAGCTTCAATTCTGTAGTCAGATTTCAGGGAGTTGTTTTGGTTAATTTTACTCTATTTTATTTTGTCTTATTTCTTTATATCCTGCGTGAGTGAAATCATCCCAAATTTGCCTTTCTCCTTTTGATTCATTTCCTAAATAAAGTCTGGATTAAACTTTAAATAAACTTTATTACATTTTTATATGCTGCTGGAATCTATTTACTGATAATTTATTTTGCTTTTTGTGCCTACATTCTTACACAGTTAGTCTGTATGTTGTTTTTATCTGCTGTCTTTATGAAGTTTGGGGATTAGGATTGTTAGAAATTCATGCAGAAAATTTGAAAAAGTTTAACATTTTTCTATGATCTACTGCAATTTACAATGCTAATAGTTTTTATTGGTCCTAAATCACTGTCTGAACTTAAGTACATCTTGTCATTTATAGATGAGAATTTTATCAAAAGTGGGAAAATATATAGAAATATTTCATGGAAGAATGAAAATGTAGAGTTTGCTTCTATGGCAAATAGAAAACTATTTGGACTAGGATTATTCTAATTTTTCTTACAAATTTAAGGAACCATAAGGTTATGTTTGTAGATGGCCCACATTTCTCACTTAATATTGAGATGCACATTTTGGACTCCTAAGAAAACTGCTTTGCCTAGAAACTAAGAATTGTTGACATAATAATATGAAATATTACTCTCCATGGCACAGAGTTTAGTCTAAGGAAACCAACAATCATAAAAAATTAATATATTTATACAAAATGCTGCTTTTGCATTGTCAGAAGATTTGTCTTTAAAATAAAATCAGACATCAGATATCACAAAATTAACGTATATCACAGGTTTGACACTTGTCTTTCCATGCCCACATAACATTTCTTGTTTTATTTATTTACACACACACACACACACACACACATAAACATTGTATTCATCAGTGTAACCCTTCCAGTTTGGAATTGCATGAAAGAGGTTTTTTAGTTAAAAAGTTCCATATTCCTTTTAAATAACTGATATGATTTGTACATAGTGGCTCATTGGCATTAATTATTCCCAAGAAGTTAATTGCTTTGAATGCATAATTAATGTGAAGGTGAGGTGTTGCTTAAGCAGTTGGCAGATATCTTTAAAACTAATAATATGTTTCTCCAACTATTTACAATTACTTCAGGGTGTTACTTTCTTTTTAATACTTTCAAGTTTCAAATAACTATGCATGCAATAGGCTCTGACTTAGAGCCTGACGGTAGCATGACTAACTTAATTAGAAAAGAGGAAGAATGGTGCTGTTGAACTTGTGAGAACTTAACATTTTCAGAGTTTAAACTGGTGACTTTCAAATTTGTGACTATTGCATTCTTTATCTGCAGGTCATGGGTTACTTGTACATAAGCATGTGTGCGTACATGACTGACGTCACTTGGCTCAATGAACAATGTGAAGTTATCAAGGCAGCCATGAGAATTGCATTTGTGGAATTCACTCAGTTATTTTCTTTTGTATATATTCACTTTGCACTTCCTTCTATTAAAAAATGCTTTTAATTTTCTTACTTTGGAATTTCTCTAATTTGATTTGGTCAATGCGGTTAATTCATTTCATGTTTTTTGAGTTTCAGTGTCCATAGTGAGGGTTCCACTGATTTAATGATTTCCAGGATCTGCTCCCCATTTATCAGACTATAATTTGTAGTTGATAGAGGATAATTGCATTGAAGTACATTAGTGATCTGATGGTGAATTAAGGATTCTTTAATTCATAGCTTATTCATAGCTTGTTTATTTTAATCCTTTAAGTATCTTCATATGAAAATAATGCTAGTAGTAGGTCCCATCTCTTAGTATTGTGGGGAAATTTAAAAAGATAAAAGATAATGTTTGTATATACGTTCACAGTGCCTACCGTAAGGTGAGAACTTAATAAATCTTAACACTGATGGGGATGGTTTCAGTCAAGTATTAGTTTCACTGAGGACACTGTGCCTAGAAAATATATATATATTTAAAGGAGATACAATCATAATTGGTGCTATTATTTTTTTATTTAGATTTCATTCAACTGTCATAATTTTTTTAACAATTCCTTAATCCTAATATAACATAACAATTCCTTAATCCCAATAGTTTTATTCTTAGATTACTTGAATGATACAGGTACAGTCTAGTTTATTTTGATAGTCTTGTAATTGCATCTAACATCCATGGGATGAAAAATTATTCAATGAGTCATTAGTGACCAAGGAAAATTCATAAGGAGGAACACCTGTAAAATACTGGGTTATAACTTTAGGGTTTATAGTTGAGTCAATTTTTGAAATAAACAGAGGCTTAAGAATCATTATCAGAAGTAAAACAGAATTAAATAAAAAAATCAGGAAAACAAAAGATTAGAATTATTAGTGATGTTATCTGACTAGGTAAATGGAATAGTTGAAAAACTACTACATGATTTTGCATATTTTATATATTTTATATATGTATGTATATACATATATATATATATATATATATATAGAGAGAGAGAGAGAGAGAGAGAAAGATTATAGTTTAATCATGATGAAGAAGGAATAGATGGATTGGGTTGGGGCAAGTGACAGAAATGCCATCCCAGTTTAAATCACTCTTACTCTCTGTGATTTTGTTTTATCCATGTTATCAAAAAAGGATATTTCATCTTTTTATGGATGAATAGTATTTATATATAAATTTATATGTATACATAGATATATACCACACTTCTTTATCCCATCATCTGTCATTGGGCACTTGGTTGTTTCCGTATCTTGGCTATTATGAATAATGATTCACAGAACATAGGGGGTACACATATCTTTTCAAATTAGTGTCTTCATATTCTTTCGGTAAATTCCCAGAAGTCAGATTACTGGATCATATAGCAGCTTTATTTTCAATTTATTGAGGAACCATCACAGAGTTTTCCATAGTGACTGTACCAATATGCAGTCCTGCAAATGGTGCATGAGGGTTCCATTTTCTTCACATTCTCACCAACACTTGTTTCTTGGCTTTTTGGTAATAACTATTCTAACCAGTATGAGGTGAAATCTCATTGTAGTTTTAATTTATATTTTCCTAGTAGTAACTGATAAAGAACATCGTTTCATATGCCTGTTGACCATCTGTATGTCTTCTTTGGTGAAATACCTACTTAGATTTTCTATCCATGTTATTAATTAGGTCACATTTTTGTTGCTTCACTGCATGAGTTGTTTAAATATTTTGGATATTAATTTTTTGTCTAATATATGCTTTGCAATATTTCTCCCTTTCAGTAGGTTTTTACATCTTGACAATGCAGAAGGTTTTTTGTTTGATATAGTCCCATTTGTTTAAGTTCTCTTTTGTTTATCTTGCCATTGGAGAAAAATTCACAAAGATATTGCTAAGGTTGATGTCATAGAGCCTGCTACCTGTTTTCTTCTACGTACTTTACAGTTTCAGATCTTATAGTCAATACTTCAATCCACTTTGAACTGATTTTATCTCACTGTCATAAGATAGTAGTCTGAGTTTCATTAATTTGCATGTAGCTATCCAGTTTTCCACCACCATCTATAAAAGAGACTTTCTTTTTTCATTGTTTCTTTCTTTTCTTCACTCCTTTGTCATGAACTAGTTGTTCATGAGTGTATGGTTTTTATTTCTGAGCTTTCAATTCTATTCCACTGATCTGTTT